GCAGCGGCGGCGGCGGGGGCAGCCGAGTGTGCAAAGGGTTCATCATGCAAGGATTATCAAAATCAGCAGGCGTCCGAAAAAAATAATAAACAAAAAAGAAGAAGCGTGCCAAAGTGGCGGAGCGTCGTTTATCTCGCTCAGTGAACACATGGCCGCTGCGCCGCTTCAACATTGCCAATCATTCGGCAGACAGACAGACCGGAGGCGTGCAGGTGCTGCAATTAAGTCGCGAGAGGCTCTTTTTATTTCGGCCCTTTTTATAAACACACGCCACACGCGCTTATAAACATTGTCTCAGCCGGGCGTGAAAATGCGCCAATAAAAAAGTGTCTTTATGTTCAAATAGTCCCTGCTTTCAATTGTGAATTATTCTCATTTGAGGACAATCGTAATTAATACGTCGGCTGGTGTTTAAATAATCGGCGCATGTTTAAGCTTTGGACAAAATACACACGGCCGCCTGGAATATCGATTTTGTGAATGCTCTCTCGCCACCGCCAGGGTAGAGGAGCCTGCTTTGCTGTGAAAGTTGGTTGTCATGACGACCAATATTGCATTTGCTATCTACTCTGTGTGTGTATGTGAGGAACAACGCGCTGATTTTGCTTTGCCCTCTCTGTCTGCACGCGCGCACCCAAACAAGATGAGAGGGCGCACGAGGGACGCGTTCACGAAAAAATATCCCTGCGAAAATGTAGAAGAAGAAGTTTGGCCGAAATTTTGATTGTCCCTTCTTTCGTTCGTGCCAAATTTCGCTGGCGCAAACAACAAGCCTCTATCACTTCAACCCCAATCGTAGTTGCAGGAAAAGTGGAAGACAAAGAGAGATACTTTTGGCAGACTTCCATTGGCTCATTTGGCGCAATGATCATTTTCAAAGATGAATAACACAAACTTGAGTGCCGGCGGAATTAAAATAAATGTGCGTACCCAAGGAGACAATCTTGATTAAATGAAAACATTAGTCAGTTTGTCCTAAATAAAATTACTGTTTCAATTACGAAAATAAAGCTAGGACCTATTTTATTAGACATGCAATTCAATAAAATGATTTATCAATATATAAAACCATCAAAAAATTATATCAAAAACTTCAGTCAAGTGGTTTCAATAACATTTTCAGTAATGCATGTCTGAAATTTGAAAACAGACATTACATTATTTTCTATAAATAATTTGTAAAAAAATAATATGAAAGAGGGTCTAATTTTTTAAAATTTAAAGAAGAAAATTTGAACACTGCAATGTACACTGTTAAAATCAAATTGCCTGACAATGAGATCTTTTTTTATGTCTTGCATAATAGTTGGAGTTTTTTTTTTCATCTTAAAAACTTACAAACCTTTATATAAACTTACTGATGCTCCAGGAAAAATATATTAAAATGTTCACTGATTCTTTTTCCATTAATTTACAAGGGAAGCCTTATTTCTTATACTTTATGCAACCTGTATAGCATGAATGTAGATAAAGTTGCATACTATAAATAAAGCAGGCAGCAGGGTTTCCTCTGTAAATTACATCAAAGCCTAAACAGATGTCTTTCAGATCAGACGTATTTTGAATACAGTCTGGTAAACTTAAATACCTCAAGTTATTTATGTCCGCATGAATGACTCCCCGCTAGACATAATGTTGATTTTTCCTTTTCAGCTCCAGGTAATAAATATAATCATTTTATTGCACGACCGTTGTGTGGAGTGACCGATTTAAAGGTTAAGCACCCCGAGCAACAACCCCATTTTGTGGAAGGGATGTAATCTGTCGAGTGCAGCCAGTTGCATAAAACTTCTGCTTCCGTGTCGACGTGCTCCAGAGCAAAATAAATATAGAAAACCATTTTTCTCAGTATTCTACTCTTTCTCTATTTCCGAAATGTTCACAGGTGTCTTTATACTACATTTAATACTGCCTACACGTCAGCTCTTTTATGAGTGACATTTTGATTGAGTGTGGAAATATAAAGCATGTGTATAGCAAAGGTGCCACCGTTCTCTCTCGCGATTCATTTATTCGAATTAGCCTCGGCTAATCGTGTGCTGGTGGTCAACGTGTTGCTCAAACGCTCGGTAGCAAAAACCATCGAGATTTGGGCCATAGAACAACCACGCCGGTGGTGTATGAATTATTTATTGTTCCTCATGTGTTGCGTGCAGCCTATCGCGCGCAGGCAGTCATTGCATTATTTCACTACCTGTTTGGGAATCATTGGACATGACGTGTTCGAATGAATAAAGCCCTCGCTGCTGGCTGGCCTGTCGACTTTCGGCGGTGGAGATCTGCTCAAATATTCATGGGCACAAAGAGTGTGGCGTTTTCTCTGGATAGAGACGCCACGTTCATGTCGGGAAGGGCGAGGAAGAAAACCCGAATTCGACGCAGAGGAAAGGATCGAGTGAACAAATCCACTTCTCTTGGCGAAAACATGCAAGCCTTCCAATCGCAGTCACAAAGATTCCGAGTGCAAATCGATTTTCGCGATTTTTCATAAAGACAGCATTCCAAAAATCTCAATTGGAGTTACTAAACTGAAAAGTTATTTTGGAAAATAAATGTATGGTTGAAACTGTGATATTTTCTAAATTTTTATAATAATAACTATGTAAGTCTACTTTGAAACTTACTGAGGGGTGAGAAATATTGGTTTCAACAAGAACGGAATAATTTATGGAATAAAAAAAATTAATATTTAATTTAATTGTTAAATTTAATAAAATTTGCATATTGATTATTTTTTCATGGGAATTTTTTTTAGTGTTAAGAGGTTAACAATTACTTAATTTGTGTAATTCCTAATACATTGATGCCAAAAAAGTCTACTGTTTTCTAATTATAAGATTATTGCATTCATAAGTCGATTTACAAAATAAACAATCTGGCCTATTTTAAAATAATACAAATAATTTATATTCAAAGTAACTGCTGGGTGCGTCCAGGATAGATTTGAGGGTAAATGTTAAAAATTTTTCTTGAAAACATGCCATTCCCAATTTTAAGTATGTTGTTGGGGTGGTCATGAGGCCTCGCTCACCAAATTTTCAAGTCAAAATAAGGGGTGCTTTTCCGGGAAATCAGATTTTTCCAAAAACTAAAAATATGGAATATCTTGGCTCCTATTGAGAAATTATTAATGATCTTTTCACTTCCAGACGTAACTTTTTACGCCCGACAACTTTTCTGTTGACAACTTTTGCGTAGGTCAAAGGTCAAGGTCACTAAATTGCAAATTTCACGTTATGACGCAATTTTCGCAAAGAAGCACCCCTCAGAAATTTTTCGCAGTATAGGAAAAAATGTAGCCCCAAGTGTGTAGAACAACATCTTTGATTTCCAGAATGGCATTATTTTTAGTTTTTTAATTAATTTTAAATGAATATTAAAAAATAGTGAAAAATCGCTTTTCCGCAATAGAAAGTAATTTTCAAACAGCGATAACTCATTTTCTGTTAGAGATACGCAAAAATGTTATAGAACAAAAAGGATTTGTTTTGACTTTTTGCATCTAGCCATGTATTGTTTATACAGGTCAGGTCACTTGGGGTCATTGACCTCGGTGACCTGTGACCTCAAAAAATAATTTGTGGAAAATGAGCTTATTAAAACCATTCCATAAAATAGTTCTTCCTAACTATGTGCCAAATATTCAGTAAACTGCTCTTAAAGGTCACAGGTCACTGAGGTCAATGACCCCAAGTGACCTGACCTGTATAAACAATACATGACTAGATGCAAAAAGTCAAAACAAATCCTTTTTGTTCTATAACATTTTTGCGTATCTCTAACAGAAAATGAGTTATCGCTGTTTGAAAATTACTTTCTATTGCGGAAAAGCGATTTTTCACTATTTTTTAATATTCATTTAAAATTAATTAAAAAACTAAAAATAATGCCATTCTGGAAATCAAGGATGTTGTTCTACACACTTGGGGCTACATTTTTTCCTATACTGCGAAAAATTTCTGAGGGGTGCTTCTTTGCGAAAATTGCGTCATAACGTGAAATTTGCAATTTAGTGACCTTGACCTTTGACCTACGCAAAAGTTGTCAACAGAAAAGTTGTCGGGCGTAAAAAGTTACGTCTGGAAGTGAAAAGATCATTAATAATTTCTCAATAGGAGCAAAGATATTCCATATTTTTTGTTTTTGGAAAAATCTGATTTCCCGGAAAAGCACCCCTTATTTTGACTTGAAAATTTGGTGAGCGAGGCCTCTTGACCACCCCAACAACATACTTGAAAATTGGATTGGCATGTTTTCAAGAAAAATTTTTAACATTTACCCTCAAATCTTTCCTGGACGCACCCTGCTTCTAATCATTTTGTGCAGCCATGAGAGTCATTTCTATATAACATCTTTGAGCTTAATTACTTTTATTACAACACAACAACCAGTTTTTTAATGCGCATGAGAATTGAATTGCATGCAAATGACCACTTGAGCGACAAGCTCGTCTGACTTCTTATTTGTTTAATAAAAATTTTCTGTTTTACACAGAAAATACAATTTTTGCTGCAATCATTTTGCAATCAACCGAGTTTTTGCCAGCCACTTTTTGCCGCGTTCTCGTCATCAAGGCTGGAGTTCGAAACAAGCAGGGCCATTAGCTGTCCGACTGCCACTAATGATGATTGCCCCCGCTAAATACCGATTGATCAGACCAACCGGAAGATTTAAACTGGCCGGCCAAAGAGGCGGAAAAGAGATAAGGCGACGGGTGTGCGGTATTTTGCAGATCGATCAGCCGCCCTTTCAGCAGATGAAAGAAAGAAAGAACGACCTCCCTCTCCGTATCTAATTCTTTAATGCACCCCATGCAGATTTGGCGAACCACCCCCGGTATATTGCATGCGCCCTGGTATATTTATCTGGGTCAGACGTGAGCGAGCCACTCGCTCATTTCCCCCAGACCGGTCTTTCCTTTTCATAATTGTGATTGCTTGGAGAGCGACTTTTTTCCTCTTTCTCATTTGGTGTGACGTGTGTCTGTGTGTGTGTTGCAGCAGCGCCGGAGTTGAGATGGCGGAGCACGAGGGGCGCCTCTGCCACCGGGGTTCACTGCTCTGATGGGCCATGGCCGGCCGACCAATTCATCACCCCCTCACCGCGCCTTCGGCATTATTTTCCATTCCTTGCCCTCAAACGCAGGTCATTAGCCTGAGCCATTAATTTGGGCGATGGAGAGCAGAGCTAGAGAGGGATGTTATGTCAAATTAAGACAATAGAGGGTATGGCACCATGTGCTCTGACAGCTATGGATAAACCAGCCGCTTTTGCATCAAAAAGTGTCAAAGTTTTATGTATTCAAAGGGCGGAGTGAAAACGTTCGGAAAATCAAATTTCGTTGAACCATTACTTGTCATAAGTGTTGGTCATAAGATTAAAAACGCATTTTGCTGTATATAATTTTTCTAGATTTAAAAGTTTTCTAAGTGGTTTTGCATAGTTTTTATAGTGTTTACATTTTTTTTTAAACTTTGTTAACCTTAATTTGATTCAATACAAAATATTATCAGCTTATTTTTTATAATTATATTGTTGGTTTTTATTTTTACCTCTATTAAAAAAAAGTTCAACTCGGAAACAAAATTAAGCAAAAAAATCTGTGTGTATTTATTTTGTTTACATTTTTTTTCAAATTTATAATTTATTAAAAAATTCATTGCTCTTTGATCTTTCCCTCTGCTCTCATTGCTCTTTGTAAATGGTGGAAATTGCGGCGCACTTTATTGGAAAAATTGATTGGCAGGTCGGAACCGCAGCTCGTGGTGTTGGTGGCCTGGGGGAATGTACTGGTGCCGAGGCCGGATTTGTGCTCTCAGCCTAATTCTCGGAGCCTACTTGGCGGGGGTGTTGCTGCTCTCTTCCATATCCCTTGATGTCGACCCGCGTCGATATCATTTCTATAAGGTAAGGTAGCGCCGGCGGAGCAAAACTTTTCCGTTTTCCCCGGGGCGAAACTTCCTCTCTGACTTAATCCCCGCGCTGAAGAATCTCGGCAGAAATGAGAAAAATAATTAGAAAAGTTGTCCAATAACTGCCACTTCCAAGCGGTGCTTTAGCTTCTGATTCTGATTGCAGGCTGTAATTAACCCTGAGGAGACGGGAAAGGTGCCGCAGATCGGCCTGAGCGGCCATCATGACGTGGCCGCCAGCATCCGCAGTGCGGCTGCCGCTTCTTCCAGACGTTCCAAACTGCACTGGTGCCACCAACTGCACTTCAAAGTGCCACCTGGACCAGTCACGGCTCTTGTGTCTTTTCCTGGCAGCGGCAATACCTGGGTCAGATACCTCATTCAGCAGGCCACAGGTGAAAAGCTTACACTCTATATATTTTTTATTTTTAATTAAAAAAAAAATCTTTTTGAAAAAGAAATTATCAATATATTTCTGCTATTTCAATATTTTTTTTTTGAAATTTTTATTATTATATAAATATCTGATATAGAAGATTATAGGATTTGCTCATCAGATTGTTAAATAATAATAATTAATATTTTAAATTTAAGTAACATGCAAACTTTTCTAGCAATTAACAAGGCTTTTTGTCTCTTACTGTAGTGAAATATTCTCAAGCATTAAGCAAATAAATGATATAATTTCATGCAATGATGAATTAAAAACAATGATTTGTAGTAAAAATGTTTCGCTTACTTTTAATTTGATAATAAGTTTCAAAATAGGCACTAACGTTTACCAGTGGTGAAACTAAAATTTTGGAACTGACTTGAATTAATTTAAATTTATTAAATTAGAATTTTTATTATATTTTATCAATATTTATTTACAAATGTTTGACTGTAATTTCTATAAATAATTAATTTTTTTTTATAAGTTTGTCTTTTCCTATTTTATTTTGAATAAAAAAGCTTTTTTTTCTAAATATATTTTTGGACGCTATGCTAGCAGCTGCTGGTAAAAAGCAAAAAAATATTTAGTAATAAGTCCAAGTTAAACAATAGGAATACTATAAAAACTTTTTTTTTTTTTTTTGATGAAAAACAAATTAGTTTTAGTATTACACTTCTAAAAATTTTTATTTTTATTATTTTGGGAAAAAATAATTTTAATCAACCTGAATAGCTGAATAGAAATTTCCCACTTAATAAAACCTAAAATAATTTTCAGGCACATACACAGGCAGTGTGTACAAAGACTATGGGCTGCTGAAGAACGGCTTTCCTGCCGAGTCTGTGATGAACGGTTCGGTGGTAGCCGTCAAGACCCACGAGATTGGCGAATCGGCCCGAGCCCCTTTTGCCAAGGCTGTTCTCCTCATCAGGGCGCCGGGCCAAGCCATCCAAGCCGAGTTCAATCGGCAGAGCGGGGGCCACATTGGTTTTGCTGCTCCAGACAGATACAGGAGAAACAGGGGCAAATGTATGCATACATTTTGTGATAGTTAACTTTTTTTTATAATAAGTAAATAAATAATTATAATTTTTTTCCTTTTTTTTTTAAATATAACTGATGATTTTTTTTTAATTTCTTCCCGATATTGCCAAGTGTTTTTGTTAGCGACTTTATTTTATTTTATATTATATTATCATGAAATATTTTCACACATTTTCTTTTTCTTCAGTTGATAAAAATTAAAATTTCGTCAAATTTGTCTTATTCATTAATTCCTTTTACAGATTGGAGAGATTTTGTGACTGACAAGTTGTCCATGTGGTCCAACACATACAACGACTGGCTGAAGAACTTCCCTGGGCCGAAGCACGTCCTCTACTACGAGCAACTTGTCTCGGACGTCGAGCGCGAGTTGCGCTCCCTTTTGAAATTCCTGGACGTGCAGGTGCCCGAGGAGCACTTGACCTGCGCCCTGGAGCGGCGCGAGGGCATCTACCGGCGGCGCCGAAGGACGCTGCCCTTTGACCCCTTCACGGCGGCCATGAAGGACGCGCTCAGGGCGGAGCAGACGCAGGTCTACACGGCCCTGGCGGCGGCCACCAACTCGTCAGCGCCCCCTGTCACCTGAACTGTGATCCAAGCGCGCAGCTCAATTTAAAAATCACTTCTGCTCTGTGTAACCTCTTGTTATGTACACTGTCTGATTGGCTGTACAACCAAAGAGCAACCCTGAAAACAGGGATGATTCACCTGAAGCGAAATTTGAATAGGATGCATTCTGTTCGTTTCACAAGAATTTCAATTTAAATTGATTCCCTAGTTTGGAATTCAAAGAGGATAAAAATCGAGATCTAAAATTCGCACCCCTTAGGATTGAAAAAGGTGTTTACCTTTTAGTGGAAAACATTGGATTCACCATTATTGCAACCTTTTGGGTTGCAAATTTTTTAATCGTGCACTTTCATCCAAAAATTTATTCTTATTTTGAATTCAATGATAACAAATTTTCTGGAGAGGCCCTTTAAATTCTCTTCTATATCAGAAAAATATTGTATTTTTCTATGCAATTCAAGGAAATTAAAGTTTGGCTTAGCACCAAAAACCAGATGAGACACTAGTTCAATCAATTTCTTTTTTACATTCACATCGTAAACTTGTGGAATTAAATTTCTGCACTGTAAAAATTTATTCCCCAGCCGCAGCTTCAAATTTTATTTCCTTTTCCTTTCTACGCACCTTTTTTGACCGAATCGTGCCAAATTTACGACACGTCGTCGTTTGCATTTCAAACACGAAACTGCAGTCTCTAAAGTCTCAAAGTGCACCTAACTTTTGATGCTCTTATTACTTTTGCATGGAACGCTGGAGAACATAAAAGCAGCTTGGTTCTGGTGCGCACCATGTGAGCCTCTTTTTTCCAAGCCTCCCTCATTCTTTTTTTCTTTATTGCGCCTCTTTTAACCGCCAGTTCTGTTCTTTCAAGTCATTCAAGAGCTAAGTTTCAGAATTCAGACTTCGGGCACATTCCAATTGTTTGAAATCCAAAGCAAAATTTATTAAGAGGAGAATTAAATAGAAAAGTTTTGCTTAAATATTAGGAAATATAAATTTATGTAAAGCTGATAAGTTGAAAATTACTCTAATCAGACAGTGCAGCTCAAATTCACTAAAAATTCAAACAAATTAATATCACTCAGCTTGTAAATAACACATTGGCACTCATCTGTGATTAAAAAAGCATCGCTTTTGTTATTTAATATTAAAAGAGAAAAATTCTTTGAATTATTTGTTTTCACTGCGTTGGAATTGATTGAAAGAAGGACCAAAGAAAACGCGTCAGACTCTCATGGGGCGTGATTCTATCTCAATTTGTGTTCCAAACCTCAAGAGAGGACTTTTGAAATCAATATAAAAAGAGATTCGAGAACGGTCGAGTGGTCATTTTTAGCCATTTACGGCCGCTCATGAAATAGCCGTAAAAACAGGGCGAAACAGGACGTGAGCGAATCGGCTATATCGGTTTTGGGAGATTGCAAAAGGTAAAATTTTTGTGAGCTGGAGAACAGTCTGTATGGAAAAGGGCACAAAGATACATAAATCTATCAAGTCCTTGGCGATTAAAATTTTCCTTTATGTTCCGCCAAACAATTGATTTATGATTGTATTAATAAATCCGTCAGGAAATATTTCAATTTTTATTGCGTCATTTCGCAATTGAACTTTTCGAGTCTCAAATCACGAATGCATTTTAATTAAAAGTTGATTTAAAATCCGTGCACAAATTTTATTATTTTACCACACCGCTTATTGTCAAGTGCACGGCATCTACTCAGCACACCAAAGATATGTTAGAATTAGTTATTAATGTCCATTTTTTAGAAACTGATCGGTTGATAATTGCCATTTGTCTATCATTGCGGTCTATTTTAATGTGCATCGTAGAGCGCTGTCTAGTCTATTCCCGTGCAACAACCTTTTTATTTCATCGGACGTTATTCCTGTTGTTGGAAATGTGTTGTTTATTTTTATTTAGTTTATCCAATCACAAGCATTTTTATATAATTCATATTAAATTATTATTGTCGTCAGCTCTGTGTAGACATTTCGAGGAGAGAATAAATTATAAACAAAGTTGACATATTGCAGAAAGAAGAAATGTTTATCGTTTTATTGCACAGAAAAACCTGCTGGTATTTTGTTTCAAAATTTTAACTAAAAAAAATTTGCGTCCAGATTTCTTATAATGTGTAGCTCAATTTACTTTCCGCAATTCACTTCAGATGATTTCTTATTTTATCTTATGCATATTTATGTGTCAAGTGTTTGCAAATATGAAACTTAAATTCAGAAAATATTAATAAAAATTTTTAATTTCAGATTTTTTAAATACAAACATTTTCTGGTAAGAAAAGAAACGAATTTTTTAAGATGCAACTAGTGCGATTTGTTTAATAAACATTTTAAATTTTTTAGTGTTTTAATTACTATTTTCTTTTCGCTAAAACACCGACTGACTTTTGTGCTAAAACCGATTCTTTTTTTTCTCCACATTCAGTGAGATGAAAGGGTTCGCTGAGGGACGGGTGGTGAAAACGCACTATTTTAGTCTGGTGAGTAATGACGAGCAATCGCGATAGCCGTGTGTGTGCTTTAGCGTGCTCACTCGCAATCACACACATACTACATTTCCGCCAAAGATGTATCTCGCTCTGAGCAAGGAAATTCGATTTCCAGGGGCCGCCAACGTCTCTTCGCTCGTCGTCGGCTAAAGATAGAAGCTCCGGTGGCCAAAAAGGGCGCGCACGCGAACTGGCCAGGCCACCGCCGCCGGGGCAAATCGCAATAAATTATTGAATTACCTTCGCTCATCATTATTTATGATGTTTGGCGTTTTTCGATACCGTTCAGCTAAAATACACAAAACGGAGATAACAAAAGCACTTACCCATTGTTTTCTTTGACGCACTTGATTTTTATTGCGTCTAATGGTTCCAAGCTATTGATGATCCATAAGGTTTTGCGAATATATATATTTTAGGTTGAAACACAGACTTAACCAATAAATAGTAACAATATAATTATGTAATTTGCAGAATTATTATTTAATTAGAAATCATTATTCAATTTTAATCATAATGAATCATAAAAAGAACATGACCATCTTTTAACATATTATTTTAGCTGACAACATATGTTTTTATAGTCGATTTTCACTCATTTGTGTAAATTGATTTATATTTGTAAAAAATTGTTTATTTGAACAAAAATTTAAATAAGTTCTAATTTTTTCGAATATTAATTTTTGTTTATTACTTTCAAGTATCTGCCTCTATTTATTGTTTATTATTTGGAATATTTTCTAGAGTTGAGTTAAAAACTTTCTGAAGAAAAATGAATTACATAAGTTTTTTGGTTTTTTAAATATTTGTATTTCTTTCCAATTCACGGTATTAGTTTTGTAATTTGGAAAAAAAACAAGATTATTTATATTGAATTTGATCTCTATTGATTGAAAAAATGAATGTAATTTTTACTATAAATTATTTAATGTATTTCAAGCGCAATATATTTTTTAATTAGAAAAACAACAACTAGAAAATTGCAACTGCCACTTGATTTTAAGAATTGCAAGTTTTAATAAATAACTATTAATCAGATAGAAATTTGGGCTTTCAATGTATGTTAACTATGTTAACAAAAGCTTTTAATAAAGACAAGAGCACCCCATTATCCATTATCTGTTCATTTTGAAACTCAAACACAGCGTGAGTATATTAATCCTCCAACCTGTGAGCGTAAAATACCCCTTTTTTCGCAGTGAGGCTTTTAAACATCAAGGGACGAAAGAACCGACGAGCTATAAAAAGGCGATCCATGTGAGCATTAAAAATTAACGAGCCAACAAAAATAACACGCGCGAATGTATAAATAATACGCAGCGATAATTAGGAAGGTGGAGCGCGGAAAGTGCAGTGCTTGGAATGAAGTGACGGGGCAAGCCGAGTGTGGGTGCCACGTCATTTGTGCCTGATAAGAGCCGATCGATACGCAATGTGCTCGCTCGGCGGGGCCTCGGTGGTGCGGCCCGCTGCTCGGCGGCCTCAGTCGCGCCTCAGAAGCAACAGGCGCCGCCGCGCTCCTCCCGAATCTCGGCCACCCTATCTCATTTTTCATGTGACCACTCCAGCCACAGGTATGGATATTGAGTTACACCTCTGACCTGACATTGCGTACAAAACCACCCTTCGGCCAATTCGATCGAAATGCGAAATTTCGCCAATGTCGCAGTTTATTTTGTTGCGTGCATTTTTCTTCCATTCTGCGCACACGTTGTTTTAATTGTTGTTTGTGCTTTTATATGCGGGCTGCTTCTTTTATATGCTAATCGTGCAGTGCTGACGAATCTGTGTCACGCACACACCACCGTATAATTTTCCTTTGCACTCTTGGCCCTGACACGAATTTCACTTTTCAAAATCCTTTCAATTGCGTCTTTGCTCTTTTGCGTTTTGCCAGCTCAGTTTTTATGTAAGTATAATTTTACTCTATGTAATATGAAAATGCTTTTTCTTGCGGATCAAGTGATTTTATTTTATTTGACTTTAAAATGGACCAAACGTATTATTTCATCAATTCAAAGAGTGATTAATCACAATCAAAGCCTTATAAAACAGCTAGAAAGACACCATAAATGTAAAATATTTATTGGCGTTGAGAAGCATTTGTTTTAAATATTTTGTATAATAAAATATAAAAACAGCTATTTAATTTATTATTTTTACTCATTACATGGTTACATTTTTATTTTTATTATTGCTATTATTGTAAACAAAATTTAGTATAACTTAAAATTATATTACATTTTTATTTATTTCATTTTTATTTGTTTGTAACCAATTTTGAAATTCTTTTTATAATTTAGGTTTAGAGATTAAAAAAAATTAAGCTTTATAAACAAAAATTGAAAATTCAAATGTTGTAATTTCGCTTGAATATGCTACGTTAAGCAAAAGTATGTATCCAAAACTTCGATGGGTGTAAGATATGTATGTAACATGTTAAATGCATAATACAAAAAGAGGTTGATTTCAATTTTCAATTAGGTCTCTTGACATGAAAAATGAACCAACCTTCTTATTTGTATGTATTTTGTGAATATATTTAACGTATATAAAGCGTGTGTGTGTTTGTTTTTTACCTGAACAGCCTGAACTGCACGGTGTCTAAATTTTTGAGACCAGAGTTGATAAGGGTAAATTCAATTCCAATCCTGTGGGTGGAACGAGAAAACCATGCTTGCAGAACTTTGAGTTTGAAAAGCGAATATTTCTCGGAATTCCCATTAGTTTATTTTCAGGACTTTGGGGCATCATTGCTTTCCCAGGGGAGGGTAGAGTTTGAATACGATTCATGCTGGAGAGTTTCTGGAAGTTAAATATTCTCTCAAAGTTATTCCTAATTCATTCCGCCAATCTCTTATCATATCATAGTGAGAAGTTTTCAGATCAAAAGGTTTCTTGTCCTCTATGGTTTGTTTAGCAGTTAGTTTTGCAACAATTTTCAAACTCGTCATAGATAGGAATATGAAGCGCATTATTTTAAACCTTCGGAGGGAAAATTTGCATGTTTAATGTTTAACTGGACGTACAAAACGGCTTTCTTTCTAGTTATCCTTTTAAATTAACGTTTTACTCTGATACGGTACACTATAATTTCAATTAAAATGTTAATTTCCTGCGCAAAATCTACATGATAAAACAAAATAATTTTACTTGAAACAATACTGTCCTGCACAGTAAAATATTAGATTATTTACAAAAATTTAAAATTATTTCCTAAATAAATTAACTCCCACTTGTATACATAAAAAATAAACGGCAGTGAAAGCCTGAAAAAGCTATATAAGATTTTTGTTTTGTTTTTACAATAATTGACTGAAACACGAGAAGAAAAGCTTGGTGAAAAATTTTAACCTCTCCGCGACACACATTCGTGGAAATGATGATGCTATATGGAATATTCAATTTCTCATTATTCGTCATACAGTTGACGTTCCAATAGGTGCAGCTGAAAGATGGAGAACGCGCGTCATCTTTTTATCCCTCAAGACGGAAATAAAAAGTGGTTGCGCGTTCCTACATCCTGCTGCACTGGACCCAGAAACTTGATCTGTGTCTCATTTACCAGATAATGAGGTTCCACGATGTCACGATGTAAATGTATATTTTTAATTTTATCGATTTTATCATATCTTTTTTCTTTTTTTTGCCGTGATGTTATAAAACTGCGCAGTTTGCAAAGTATTTTACAATTAGAATTATTTCTTTTAGATCAATAATTAATTAACCTTTTGCAGATTAGCTTTTTTCCACAACTTGCAATAAATTGCCAACCGCTGGGCAATACTTTCTCATTAAAGCACCATAACTTCCAATCAAGAATCGATTAACGCGTCTGTTTTTCTTTGATCCACTCAGACCAATGGTGGACCTGAGCAACGGCCGGGACAGTTGGACGTGTCCGAACGACCGGCAGCTGGCCCTGCGCGCCAAACTGCAGACGGGTTGGTCCGTGAAGACGCAGTCGCTGCACACGCTGACCAAAAAACCAGAGGCCCTCAACGAGCAGGAGAAGCAGACCATCCTTGACGTCATCAAGAGAGCCGAAACCCTGGAGAAAACTGAGCAGCAGAGAATAGGGCAAGTTGATCTCTTGCGCAACTCTGTTATTATATCGCGCGACTCGCTTTGATATACGCGACCGAGCAAAATGAGGCTGGGGACGCAGAAAAAATTCATGGCGCCGACGGTCTTGTTAGTGAAACAAGAGCGAATTGAAAACGCTTTTGTCTCTGGCCAACTTTAAGCCTTGATTATAACGGAGTAAAAATGAAGCTCGCGGATATTGAAATTCCACACGACTATTGTTTGTTTATCTTTTCGCTTCCAATTTCCGCAGGCGTTTAGTGCACCACGTGGAGAGTATGAAGAAAAATGCGCTGGGCGACGGGTCGAACAAATGCGTCCTGTGCGGCGACACCTTCGGCTTTCTCGGCCCAACGGCGTCGCTCTGCAAAGACTGCAAAAAGGCCGCGTGCCAGAAGTGCGGCGTCGAAGAAGGAGCCGCCGCCTCGGGGCTTCGCTTCCCCGCCTCGGGCTCCTCCAACTGGCTGTGCAAAATCTGCGCCGAGACGCGCGAAATGTGGAAAAAGTCTGGCGCCTGGTTTTTTAAGGTTGGTTTAAAACATGATATTATCTGCCAGCCAGATATGTTTGCCTCTGAATTTTTTTTTTAATTCTTCTAACTAATTTTTTTGAAGAAAATCTTCCAATAAAAAAAAAGGAGGAAAATTACTGCACCGCAGTAAAGCCAATTTATGGAAGTCCATTTTTTTAATTTAAAGTGCTTTATTGTTGAAAAATTGCAGAAAAACTGATTTTTCAAGTGTTATAAATTTTTGTTTTTGTTGAAAATTTTTAGAGTATGATTGAGACATTTTATTTATGCAAAATTTTCTAGTTTTATCACTGTAGAATATTTCTTATTAACACTGTTCAGAATGGCAAATAAAATTTGTAATTATGCCTGTCAGAATCAAATAATTTTATTTATGTGTATTCAATTGCCAAAGAAATAATTATATTATTATTCTCTTTTTGCAAACACAATTATTACTTTTATCTAAAATTTAATGAATCCATTTTTTTACTCAGGGAATGCCCAAATATGAATTGCCTGAACCTGGATCACTGAATGGACGGATCAGCAAATTTTTCAGACCAGGTTTTACTCAACTCAGAAATTAGTTCCAATTAAAGCCAAATTTCTCAATCATCATTTGCAGCTCCGAGTCCTTTGCAAAGAGTTTCGATCGCTGAGGATTGCGAAAGCAGCTCAGAAGAGGAACCGCCCGTTCAACCACCACAGCCGCCGCAACCATCCCCTGTCGTTAGACACGCACCCCTTTCACACGTTCACTCCATTTCATCTGTAAAGTAAAAGTCGCTCTGCTCTACACATTTTATTTTTGCTTTCTCAGTTTCCTCTAAAAAATTATGAGTTTTACCATTATTGTTTGCTGCACTCTTTAAATTTTTGTATATTTTTGTGCACGTACACAGCAGCACCAGTCACATTTCCCGAAGAGAAAGTAGTCTTTCCCACCAGTGGGCTTCCGAGGAGGGCTCCAGCTCGGTGACTTCCTCAGATCGCGCCGGAAGTGTTTTCTCCGAAGTGGAGGACGACGTCATAATTGACGAAGGTGCGCTATTTTTACATGAAATTTCCAAGCGACTGATGAAATAAATTCGATCCAAGTTTATTTAGGAAGCATGCAGTTTTCCGTCACCTTTGATCCTCAAACAAGCACGCTTCACTGCTGCTTGATACGAGCCAAAGGTCTCAGGGGAATGGACGTCAACGGCCTGTGCGACTCTTATTGCAGAGCTCAGCTGCTTCCATCAACGTCGGGAAAGGTATTATTAATTTTCCTATCAAATACTTTATTAAACAAGATAATATTTAGAAATCTGAAAAATATGGTTAAAAAAAAATGAATTTTATAGATACCAAACAAAGGGGTTCAAATTTACATTGAATATAATTATTGCAGATTCATGCGTAAAGAATGAGTAGCAAATACATATACAATTTTAATTTTCATTGTACTTGATTGCATTTATTATTAATTTATTTAAAAATTGTACAATTTAACCAAATTTTATTTAATATTTTAGATTCAATTTCATAAATTTTATAGCACATTATTGCAGCTATAAATATAAAACTAAAATTTCGTAATTGAAATTTTTGTTAAATTATTCAATTGTAAAATATAATAAAAATTTTATTATTTAATGATGCAATTTAATACAATTAAAATAAAAAATTGTTGTGTATTTGCTACGACTTATTGCTTACTTCTAAATGTAAAAAAATTATATTCAACATTAATTTGAATTTAAATAGATTTTAATTCCTTTCTTTGGCATTTTAAATTGAATATTTTTCTAGAATGTAAATTCATTATAGTACAATTTTTTTTCAAGTAAATATAAAATTAATTTTACATTTAAATAAATATATTTTAAAGCCCATATAGTCACGAAAAATACAAACTGAACTAACATTATAAATGTTTCCTGCTGACTGTTTGTATAGAATTAAATTAAGTAAAGCCATATTGATACAAAGTGTCTATAATATAGTATTGAGGATATGGATTGATATTATTAACCAGTCATGAGTTATTATACTGATTGAATTGTATGTACATTTTAAAGGCAATTACACCGCTTCGGACCAAAACAGTTCACAAAACAAGAGATCCTGAATTCAATGAAACACTCGCCTGGTTCCATGTAACACCGGCTGATCATATTCGTAAAACACTTCACATTGTAATTTATGGTGAATATCTGAATAATTTAAACTCTCCACCAATATGTTTCAATATTTTATTTCATTAGACGAGGACAAATATGGAGACGAAGCTTTAGGATCAGCTCGTTTGCATCTCGCCAGATTGACGCCGGGCAAAACCAGCCGTTTTAATGTATTTTTAGAAAAGCCGTACCCAGTAGGTTTTCTCAAAGTTCTGCTTTTCTGCATCATTTTGGTTTTTGTCAAAGGACGAGGTTTGTGCAGACGAGGGACCAGGACGAGGGCGCATTCTGATCGCCCTAAATTACGTCACTAAGCGGAAGGCTATCACGGTGGGAATAATCAGGTGCGCTGGTTTGCTAGCCATGGACTCTAATGGGACCTCAGATCCCTTCGTCAAAATGTAAGTTGGCAATTTCAAGCAACATTGAATGGAGTATGTCAGTGATTATTCACATATGGGCCTAAAAATTTGACGTTCCCAATTAATCAAAATTCGCGATTTAAAGAAATCCATAAGTATTTTGGATTTATAAAAGTCTCATGCGCTAACGTTTTGTGCAAAACTAATCAATTTCTGCCCTCAGAATGTTTTTCATCCTAATAAATCATACATAAATTTGCTATTTTTTTTTCATTGAACTACATTGTACAAAATTAAAAATAATTATTGTTGTATATATTTGCAGTCAGTTGAAAGATGATCCACATAGACGCAAATTCAAAACGGCCATCAAATGGCGCAATTTAAATCCGGAATTCTGCGAGCACTTCACCTTTGAAATAAAAATGGGTGAATTGTCAAGCAAGACGTTGATGTTCTCCGTTTGGGACAAGGACCTCGGCAAGTCCGATGACTACTTAGGTGAGCATTTCCTTTTTCGGAGCATTAATCTACCACGTTCTGCTCTTTCTCTTTTTTATTGAATCATGGGAATTGCGCGCCCCTCGTAAAATAAATTGTATTATTGTGCGTAGGTGGACTGGAGCTGGGATTCACTTCTAAAGGGGACCGCCTACGCCACTGGCTGGATACAATTAAGTTCCCAGACAGGAGGCACGAGAGGTGGCACAATCTTTGTGGACAGATCATAGGCGACTGAGCCAATTTTCGCACCCCCCCCCCCCAACCGATCTGTTCAAATTAGCAGATAATTTTGTACGCAGGAGTAACTTTCTCGGAAAAGAGACGCCTAGCAGTTCTTTGAAGTTTTCGCCCCATTTAAGAAAGACTTCTGGACAATTTACGTGCCAAATTGACATTTTTTTCCTTCTCCCTTCTCAGGTAAGTAAAATTTCTAAATAGAGGCATTGTTGCGAATAATCTAAAATGAAAACTGGCTTCTGCTTTAAAACCCATATGTGTAATATAGCCTGGACCATTAAAATGGGCAATTGAACTATTCTGTCAATCAAAAGATGTCAATCAAACTCACTACAACGCACGTTCTCTTGGTATACGGTCTTCATCTATATGCATTTAAAAAACTCTTTCGCCTTTTTATATTTTTTGTTTTAATGTGAAAACATACATAGAGTAGAAATAAAAATTAGATAGCCGAATCTCTTTTACAAAAACCGCAGTGATGTGATGCAAGTATTAGTTTTTCTTTAGATTATAGATTTGACGAAGTAGAAAAAAGGATCACTTGCGTCCGAGTTTCCCTGAGAGAAATTAAGCACTGAGTATTTTTGGACGAAATCGAGCTAATTCTCAATCATTGGCCTTGTTCTTGAGTGAAAAAAAAATCATTAAAATTAAAACGTCTCGTGTAACTTATCATGTAGGTACTATTATACTATGAATGTCTAATCTACTCCACGGCCAACATGAGCAAAGAAACCCTATAGTAAATAAATATGTGAACAGCTTAACTCTTATTTTCTCCTGAGAATAATTCTTTTTTTATCTAAAATATATTCCAAGCTGTTTCTAATTGATCTATAATTAATTTTTATAGTTTGAACAAGTAATAAAACCTGTTTTGTTTTTTTCACTCTACTTCAAATAGTTTATTCTGAGTATGGTCGCGCGAATAATCATCGGCTTTTTATCTCCGCGCAAAGCTCTTTACAACTCGTTGCACACAATCCCTTTGTAAAACCTGCGTTCTGTTTATATGTCCGCACACGTCCATCTGCAGCTTTGTTCTATTCTCGATGTATATTCGATCTGCAAACAGCAGCTCTGAAATATTTTCCCTTAAATCTCAAGCAGAGATCTCCTTTTTGCATAACAGTTGTTAATATGCTCTGGGCCATTTTTGCACAAGAAACAAATGTGTTCTTGACACAAAGACTTTGCAAAATCTTTGTATGACTTTCTTGGAATAAATGTTCTTTGTATACAAGATCTTCTTTGTCCAGGAAAAATTCTTTCCAGCTATACGAAAAAGAAGAAAATTTTGCAGGGTGTACTTTTGAAATTACAATCTATAAAAAAAACTATTGCCTTTCTTATACCAACATGTTAATGTGATGGAAAATAAATTAAATTATAGAAATATCCTAAAAATCTTTCAATGATCATAGAAGTGTGAACAAAGTAAGTTATTAGTTAGTTTAGGCTACCAGACTACCAGGCATCAAATCTTATTTATGAATGGATGTATAATCATTGCCGCAATTATTTGGGGTGCAATTTACTGATAATTTCTTAAAAAGCAAAATAAGTCAAATTCAATCTCAGATACATAATTGAATCTGCGGAACTGAACCTTTTGCTGCGTTAATTTTTTATAGATTTATAAATTAGTAACTTTTGTTCTTTTTTTCAAATATTTTAATTAATAAGCGATAAATTAAAAAATTGATTAACATGTTAAAGCTTGATATTTTAGTTAAATGCTGAATGTTCATTCAGTTTTAACACCCAAGGTGCCAATTTAGAGTGTAGGAGAGGTTCTTTGGTATCTTTATTTTTCATGAATTATCTCTTCAATATTAACTATACCATTTTTACCATACACATGCGGCGGGTTCAGCACCACGAACATAGAGAAACCAACCATCTACATCCAGGCGGAGAACCGAAAAGAAAACCAATATCAATGCCTGCCGCACGATCTGTGGGCTGATTGAGGAAACTATTATTTATACTAACCAAGAGGTATCATCTGGAGCATCCGCAGTTGCCACATAACTTGGAGAAGTGTCACGGGTCACAGAACTCGGAAGTAAAACTTGAATCTCGGCTACCGTTTGAAATGCCAGGGCACAGGAGGTTTAGTGCAGGAGGCAGAAAATGGCAACAGCGGAGATGTTATAGTTCCTACGGTATGTCATAGATGGAGCGAGTAGTCGGATTTTGAGGACAACTGTGTGAAAAATGTTGAGAACAAAGGTTGTGAAAACTGCAGTTCCAAAAGCTTTGCGCAATTATGATCTTAACTTTTTTTTAAATAATTAAAGAATATTCAAAAAATGAAAGTATCTTTCAGAAGTCACGATAATTTTGTAACAGAAAAAAAATTAAATTTAAAAAACATCTATAGAACAGCTATAGAACATATCAAAAGCACAATATTGCAAAATAAATAAATTTATTTTTGCTTTAGATAGAAAAAATTTGCGGGCCTTGATAAATGTTCAAATTAATCAATTATAAATTATAATTTATTTCTTAGATTAATTTTTCGTTTCAAGTATAACATATTAATAATAATTAAATATAATTTGATATTATATTCAACATTATCATTATCACAGAAAAATAATGCAGAAATTTTAGGTCGCGCATAAAAATTATATGATGGAAATCATGGAAACTATAAATTAGTGAAAAGCCATAAATCATCAAGCGATGAAATCTTATATTTTGGGTAACAGAGCATAAATAAAAAATTTAAACCAAGGGAACATCGCTGCAAAGAAAAATTTAAAAAATATATAAAATAAAGGACGACTGACCCCCGATGCGACCTGCTGGTAGCTTGTTTATGAGCAAAATGAGATTCGCCAATATTTCACGTAATCCACCTCGAGTGTGAGCATTTAAAATTAAAAATGCTTGGAATGCTCTCTCAAGATTAATACGATTATATCCTTTACTTCTAATCTTATTTTCATGAAAAATTAATTGCGTTAAAATACAAATGATCAATTTGTAAATTACACAGGTTGTTCATATCAAATCAGTATGGAAATGAATAACGTATGATAACAAAATGCGCTTTCCCTTTTGCACTCGCAGTCAAGTTGTGCTAATTTGTTCCAAAGGATTAGAATAATGCTAACTAGGTCCCACTTAACATTTGTGACTTGGGGCTGTTGTGGATGGAGCGGCGCGTCCGCAGATCTTTCGCATAAGCTGCTAGCAAGTTGCGCTGCTGCTCAGCTTCAGATAACAAGATATTTGCAAAAATTTCCCACAATCCCGGCTGATATATGGACATACAAAGAGGATTAAAACCAAACACTTCGTTGCTTGAAAATGAATTTCAGCAGAGTCAAATTATGCGCTTTTCTAAAAAAAAGGTATGCCAGCTACCTCTCAAATTAATTTATTTAAAACATTATGAATGAAACGAATTAAACATATAGCTTTTATATGATGAATTAGAAAAAGTGAAATCTCGATATTTTAAAATAGGTATGGGAGAACTTTCAAAATACAAAAAAAAAAAACACGTGTATAAACTAGATGAAGAAAATTTGTTCGTTACTGACTTGGAGGAGAAATTTGATCTCCTAGAAAATTATTTAAAGTTTCTTGAAAGCTATAATTCAGAACATTATTATTTTTATTGCAATTTAAAAAAAATACGTGAACCGTTTAACTCGAAACAAATGTCAATTTTCCAAACAAAAATAATTTTTATTTAAACTTCTTGCTTTCTGAAAAAAACTTTCAAAAATCACGACCTCTTACCGCAACCAAAAATTCACATTTCCAGAGCCTTTTGGGGCTAAATTCTACGTCATGATGAATAGCTGTTGATGAGGGACGGGGTCATGTCGACGTCAAAAAATAATGGAGAGCACCAGGAGAGCACCAAGCTTCCATAATCCACGGTGGTGTACGGTTATGGGGGAGCGGCGGCAGCTTTGTGGCTATTTTCTGGTAAGCCCAAGAGGGTGACCAATCTGCTTATCTGTCCATCTCTATCACGCTCTAATGAGCCTCGGCACAAATTCTTGCGCCTCATTTCAAAATTTCAAACTTCCTTCTTCGTTCCACGGAATTTGAGAAATTTTGGGAGTAAATAAAGAGCGATTACAAAAATCAGTTGAAAAGGGAAATATGATTTTTAATTTTTTTTTTATGGCTCTTGATGATTAAAAATTGTATTATAACAATAAATTTTTTATTACAGTTCCAAAGAAAAAGTTATTAATATTGGCGATTTTCAATATATGCAAAACAATATGGAATTTTATATTTTAAATAATTGTTTTCCTTTATTATTATAAGAGTTTGGAAGCTCTCGTCTCTCTAGATGTTTAAATTTAATGAAACTATAATACAGAAATTTCTATGTTTTTAATTTAAATTTAATTATTTTAGTTCGCAAGTGGCTGTTAAAATTCTAGCTTTATTTTAACTATAAAAATTCAAGTTAAAAAAATTTGAGCTATTCTTGTTCAAGATTAATGGTTTTCTCCAAAAATTTGCGGAGCAAATGGAAAGTGGCATTTTCCCAAGTGGATTTGCGCTCCGCGTTCACTAAACATTTTGGTAAATCTCTTCTGTTGGCCATGGAAACACCTAGCACAAATTAAAACGAGCAGTCCTTTGAGGAAAAGCTTTTAAACCTGGCGTCTTTTCAGAACCGCTGTTGGGATTCTCAAAATTTATAATTTGGTTTCTTTTCAAGCTCTGATTTGGCAACAAAATAATTATTCGCTATCAAATAAATCCGCAGGCCATTAGATTAAAATTTATTGTTAGTAAATCATTTCATTTTTATTTTCATTTTAAATTTCTGTTGCTGGGGAAATTCGTCAGCAAATAATGTCTGCCGCAATTATTGGCGCTCAAAGTAGTCAGGTGCGCATATTTATATGCATATCTTTACCTGCTTCTCCGCTACTTGATGCGATGTAGCTGCAGTGGAATGGAAACCGCTGATAGTACCGTCAAATGCTCTGCCAATAAATTTACACACGCTGCGTCGCGATTCGCGAATGCGAGGGTGCAAAATATTCTCAGTCGATTATATTCTTTTCATGTTATGTTCCTGCCAGGTTCCTGAAATATATTATTCCAATGAAGTTGATGATGTTGACTTGTGAGAGTAATTTTTTTTCTTCCTTTTTTACTCTGGCGCACACACTGCAAGTTTTTAAGTGAAATCTGAATAATTTAAATAAATATCTCTGTGCAATTTTCTCAAGACTAAAAATTGAAGCTGCTTTGAAACTTTTGTAGAATTATAGACTATACATATAGAAATAATATAGTAGCTTTTGAAATAACATAATCTAATCTTCTCTTTCAAGAAAATAAATATATAATTAATAAATAAATTTGAAAACTAGATTTTCCGATCAGAGGTCCTTTAGTTTTTTTTTTCAAAGAGGAGAAACTAGAATATATCAAATTTATATCTTGATTTGTTACAGAAGAATGAATAATTGGATGATAGAATTTCAACTACAAGATTAATTATCAAACAACTGCAATTTAATAATCTGAAACACGAACACATGCAATTAAAACTGTTGCGTGAGAGCACAGGTTGCAATTATGCATTAATCAACAGCAAAGCTTTAGATACATGAAGTGAGCGTCTATCACATGAAGAGCAAAGAGCACATGGTCTGCCTACCCTGTTCATTAAATTAAGCTACAAGCGCCCGTCGATCGAACAGCGAGTTATTTATTATTTGAGGCCCTCTTCATATTGCTGCGGAATATATGGCACGTGATTGATTTGCTCGCCTGCAGTCACATGTAATAATTATTATAGCAGCTCTGTTTGTGCTGGATAGCGAGTGCCCGCGCAAATATTTTATGCCTGAAGCACTCCCTTCTGCTCACAGCCAATTTGATTAGCATCCGCGTGCATGATAAGGTCTCTGATTTAATTTTTTGTATACCACTTTGATTTACACTGATGCAAGAAATTAATTACTTTCTTAAAAATGTATTAATATCTTGTAAAAATGTGATCACTTTAAAAAAAATAGTGTATCTAGATTTTGAATTATTTAGTATGAAACAAAAAATCAAAGATTTAAAAAAATTTATTTTCATTGTTTGTTGAGCAGCAGTTTTTGCAGGGCCAATTTTTTAGTCAAAAGTCACCGGAGATAAGATAAGGGGATTAAGAGCCACTCTACAATATTGAGGCTCAAGTAACAATAAGTTTTGGAGCCAAAGTAATTAAACTTGCAAATTGTTAATATTTATTTTCTCATGATCCATTCGTCAAGAAATTATTTTTGTTTTTCGAAAATTAACACCCAAAATTTTTTGAGCCACGTCTATGCTTTTTCCAAAATTTCCAATGTTTTAAAAATATAAATTTTTCAAAATTAAATTCACAATTTTGGTCA